GAAAATTAAAGAATTTTTTGCACTATTAGAAAATGATCAATTTTAATTTTTCTCATAACTTTGCTATATGGCTCCCTTTATTAACGATGGACAATTCATGATAAGTTTAAAGGGATGCTATCGTGAAATTGCTAGTGGAATAATTCTTGCTGCAACAAATGAGCAAACTTTCCACAATAGTACGAGTAAATAATATTATCCTTCCACTAAGTAGTTGGCAGTGAAATTCAGGGAAAAGTTGCAAAATATTTGAAACCCAGCGCAGGGTCTACGGTTTCCTGTTCAATTGTAAGAATCTTATCATTTAGTGACTTTAAGAAGCTTTTGCCATCCGATGGTAAAACGAATCTGTCCTACAGGGAATACAGAAACATAAGTAAAGATATTTTGGTTGATTTAACATTCCCAATTAATTGTGCAATATTATTTAAAATAATATAAAAGTATAATTTATTTCGAGATATTATTTCTATATCTATGAAATTTAAAAATCTAAGTATTTTCTCTTACAATTTTTCTTGAAAAATATATTATATTTATTAATACAAATTAATTCTTTATATGTGAGTTCAACTAACAAATTGTATTATCAGAATCAACAATATTGTGTTATATAAAATTCTAAATTTTATAAATATATAAAATACAATGAATTATATGCATGAGATAATTTTTTCATTAATGGAATATCATTTTAAAAGAATTAAATCGTTAATGTTTCTTTCTATTTTTTTTTTTTTTTTTTTTTTTAATTATACAACTTTCTAATTAGAGTAAAATTTTAATCTAAGATATAATTTCAATAAAAAAAATAATGAAAATTTGACAGTCGATTTAATTTGATTTAAATAAATTTCCCGTCGAAAAAAAACCATTGTTGCATATTTATTATTCTATATACACACTTCATACTTTCATTCGTTCAAATTAGGATTTAAATGAATTTTCTCATAAATAAACATTTTTGATTAATTTTATCTTCTTAAAAATTCAATTTACAATTATCAAACTGCGTGGTAGTCAGAAAACAGAAAAGCATAAAATCACGGTTTAATATTATATAATGGTTTTGATATCCTAGTCGTTTAAGTAAATCATGATTGATGTGTTGCTCTTCGAGCGAGTCAGAAGAGCCAGATTTGAAAAGAAAGCTACTGCAATTCTTCTACGGTAGAATCTCACGGTTTCCTAAAGTGTTTCTTTAACGTTTAGATATCATGGCCAAAAACGAGGATAAATCTCTTGTAATCCAAGCAATTTGACGATATATTCACCTCCTCGAATTGATAAGCTGTGCTATATTCTCCGACACAAATGGAAAATATTCGATCAAATTTATATGCGTGAGAAATGTTTGGATGGAAGTTGAATGGTTTCAAAAGATGAATATTCTGATGTTTTTTTATGGAAATTTTTTTTAGACCTTGTGAAGATCAATTTTGTTTTTCAAAATGGAATTATATAATATGTGTTTGCGTGTGATTTATTTTTCATATAACAAATTTTACTACAATTTTACTTTTTAATAAAATTCAAATTAAAATATTTCTCAAAACAATAATTTTTCAGCATAGATTAATTCTTTTTATAAAAAATATCTATCGAAATGATCAATTGTATTAAACAACGCATACATATAATTTGAATAATTTATTTGAAAAAATAAAATTGACCTTTATAAATCTTTAACATTGTCATTTAAACATGTGTAAAAGAAACTAAAAAAATTAAAATGTATAGCTTTTGAAATCATTCAATTTTTATCTAAATAAAATGATAATTTCATCATTAGATATTTCAATGACAAAAAAATTCTATTCGATGGAAGCAAAGCTTCATCTGCACGTGTCCAATATTTCTGACATTTTTTGACGTATTGCGATGTAATCAACGTCGAGTATTCTTCTCACGAAAATGGAGGAAAGAAAGAAGAAAAAACGATAGGTCTAACAAAGATAATGTTAATTTCCACCTACGTTACAGAAAGGTCAAACGAGAAAGGAGCTCAAACGCTTTGACGTACCATCGATCAAAGTCGATTAACCCATCCCGATTTTCCACAAATTCGTCACATATTTCATCATCTTTGAATTCGAGATTGATTTTATAGATAGAAAAATTAAAGAGAAAAAATTTAATCGATCGTGTTATAAAAAAATAAATTTCCAAAGAGTTTTGTATAAAAATGAAAAACGAGAGAAACGAAAGTAACAGGGGGAAAAAATCAATAAATATGACAGTATATACGTGAGAATAGTTCCTAACACAATGGCCTCTTTAAACTCTCCTTTGCAGTCTGCGAAAGACGCGCGACCCTTAAATTGCATTTGAATAAAGCAATTTGTGCACGCAGCGTAATCCAATTCGGCCTTCTTGCTAGTTTTCGCTACGCGAAAGCACCGATAAATCAACCAGTTGCGCCGCGCATCGGGCCAAGCACACCCCTGCGATATAACCATATGGCTTAATTTCATTCGTTTCGCTCTGTAATTCCCACCCCTGAAAAAAAAAAAGAAAGTGTCCGAACCGCAAGAACTGTTTGGTATATTTGATAGAAGTAATCATTCTATTCTCAATCGCGGTATACAGCTCTTTTCGTTCATTTTCTTATTCTTCTTCCTCTTTTTTTTCTTATTTTTTATAAAACAAGAATAATATCATTGATTTAAAAACACGTCTACATGTCTACAATATATCGTGTTGAAATATGAACACGAAAATATCCAGAAGGTAGTAGCATTCTAAACCAGCGCGACAAATAGCGCAATAGTATGACACATTCTAGGGCAGCACATTCGAAATCGCGAAAAATCAATAAACGATTAACTCTTACGGGTACGCGATGTTACCGGAATTTTCCAGATTCGCTGATATAATATTGCGCTTCTCTAAAATCTTCGTTAAAATTACGCTCGTCTCTAAACAAATATTTAGACAGAAACAACTTGATCTTGGTCTAATTTCGAGATGTTAAGTTAAACCATTTAGAAGGAAACGACGAGAAGAAATCAATAAACCAAATCCCCCGAACTAACGAGATCCAAAATTATCTAACATCATCTCCTCTAACCATGCCTCCTGTTAACTGTAAAACGTATACTCGGTTTCCCTTATGTCTCCGTGTATCAAACGAGCCACCGTGGTTTGCATATTATCAGTAGTAGGCTATCGAATTAGAAAACAAGGGAGGAACGGCGCAATTAATCGGCAATCGCGTTCGATCGCCTCCATTCACCAAGATCTGCATCGCGTATACTGTGGAACAGTTCACTTTCTATTCAATCTTTCAATCATCTCGCAAATTTTCATTTCATTACAATTACAATAGTATATATTCGTTTTAGAGAAACGTCGAAGAAAAATTGATGAAAGAAAAATCAAAGAAACAATATCGTTTCTAGTGGTTCGAGAAACTTCCGTGGAGAAACATTTCACAGAGGAAGCAAAGAACAAAAACGAAACGCAGAGGTACAGATCAAGGCAGGTGAGACAGCTATATGCTATGGAATAGCGCTAAAAAACACCGAACAGCCAGAATTAAAAACATTGCAATCATGTTACATGTATATACAAGATAGCTCGATAGCCAGTAATAGCATAATTTCCGCATATCAAATAATTTCAACGAGATTTACGAAAAGAGAAAAAGTGACATATTTATTAATTATACATTTTTATCCATATTTCTTTTTGAAAAACATTCAATTATCGATTCGAAATAATGTATATTGATTATAATTACAGAATTGTCCAAAACATATGTTATTGTTCCAAATTATGTTATTGTTACAATTAAACAAAATAATATAAAATTTTAGTTAACTGCATTTAGATATAATTTCTACAAAAATAGTTTTTAAATTATCAATCATCTTTTATATTCTTTAAAAAAGAATAATTTTTTATCTATGAATTTATGATCGATAATAATCAACATTAAAGTTACTATTAGAAAGAAGACTAATACAGAGAATCGAGAATCGAAAAAAACATAAAGAAAAACATTAAACATTAAATAATGTGTTAAACATCATTCATGTTTTTTTCTTCTTCATGTTACGTAAAATTTCCTTGAAATTATTTAGTTTCGATTACATATGTAGTTGATAATCGTGCTGATCCTTAATGCATCAAAGCATTGTGTACATCGATATATACACGTTGTATATGTATCACGAGGTACAATCGCAGGGGGGGGATATATGTACGTAGTACAGTATTCGAGAACATCTAGTCAGCCGAACATCTATAAAAACACCAGATAAAGAGAAAGAAATAGAGATAGAGATATAGAAATAGATACTAGAAGAGAGAAAGACAGACAGCCATCTCACCGCCCGCCACAGCTCAAAGCACTCACGAGATATCACGGGGGAACACGACAAAAAGAGCCACCGTTATCTTTTTTTTCGCGCGAATATTTTACTCTATACTCGGGGATACGTTATAAGCTTTCGTGTTTTTATAACCTAAAAAAGCGATTGCACTGCTCCGTATTGTACGATGTGATGTACCCGGACCGGTGAACGCCGTGGTGCCACCTGACAGACTCCGGGAAATTTGAGAAAACAAGATTTCCTTCAGCCCATGCGCGAGAACTTTAATCGAATTTTGGCTTGCAGTGCCGACAACGGACGTGTCTTCGCTTCACTGCACACGGCCCTGCATTCAAAATTCAAATTTTTCCCTCCGCAATATCGAAATCTATCGAACGAGTAGGAAACATCAGTAGCTTTTCGAATAACGTTATGTCAAATCTTCTTTTCTAATAGAGTTAACTTTTGAAACAATAAACAATAGATAATAAAGCCCTTATTTTAAAAAAATAGTTCGCTTGCACGATATGTTTGAACGCATGACTTATGACGACATTTTCTATAGCGGTGGATATAAAATTTACAATTATTAATATGATCAGAAAGAATATTTTCTACTTGTTTATAAACTTAATTATCTTAGTTATCTTTCTATCACGAAAAATGCTTATTAAATTCACTTACCTTCTTTTTTGTTCCAAAAACATTTCATTGATACAAAAAACTTATAGGATTAACACTGAACAATGTACTCGCGCATTAAATGAGCTGTAACTGATTGTTGAGCCATGCAACAAGAAAATTGTGCATGATGCGACATCTGCCGACAAATATTTGAACTACTTAAAATGGTTACTTATTAGACTTTATCTATATTAGAACATATGTCATTAAAATTATTAAAATTATATTAGAATTAAATATCATTTAAAAAAATTTTTAATTAATATTATATCACTATATATCATTCATAATTATTAATATCAATATATGTATCAATTATTTTGATATATTATAAGAATAATAATATATTATTAAAATATGCCTAGTTACTTACTTTCTTAAAAGATATAGGAATATTTATAGTTATTTCTTATCCAAATGATATATAAATAAATAACAATGATTATCAACAATGATTATATATTAATTTATTTATTAAAGGCTTAAGAATAATTATATTGATAATATATAGATATTGTTAAAATATTGCGACTTATATATTGAAAAGTTGTGACATTGTGATTTATTATTAGTTTGTATACATTATTATATAGATATAGATATTATTATATAGATATTATTATATGGATATAGTATATATATTACTAAAGATGAATATCACTTATTTAAACAAAATAACAATCAAAATTATCAAAAAAATTTTAGAAAAAATATGAGAAAATTAGTAAACTAATTATTGGACTTGTCATCTGTCATTTGTTCTCTAATTTTAATTTAACTATATGCTTATATATTAATTTATTAATTATATTATTTTTTCTCTCCAATTATTTTTTTTTAAAGAAATTTTTATTTATTTAACTACTTTTTTCCGTTCTTTTCAAAGAGAACTTTTTAGCTATCCTGATGATAACCAACCAGATGTTATTTTGCTATTAAAATATTTGAATTTCGATATAAAGAATCATATTTTGTATTTCTACAAATAAAAGTAAAATAAAAAAAGTGTGAAAAAAGTTATTGATGCAAAAATTATATACATATGTATAAATTTCATTAATTTGAAATTTTAAAGATTCCTAATAGATGTTTGTTTAATAATTCCTAATAATTACGATGTCGCCACTGTTTGACATTTATTTGATATCAGTTTCCCTCTTTTTATTTATGTATAGTTAAAGTTATCAGAAAAATTCTTTTTGTGAGAAGAGTGGAAGAAAATAATATAATTATTGAATATATAGTTATTAGTCTTCCACTCGTTATTTATTTTCCTTTCATCTCTTTGCTGTTGTAACACTGTTAATTCGTTAATTATATTTTCTTCTATTTTTCCACAGGGAATTTGAGTTCATTAACTCAATTATATTATTTTTTCACACTTTATCTATAAAGAAAATTTTTCTACTATACATTTAATATGATACTTCGTTATACTTATACATTATATTCATTTTATCCTTATTTTCCTTACGCCTACGCCTGGCAACATGGCATATCACATGGTTGAACTTCGACAGAGTCGTCAACTAGTCAATTTATAATAATGGCTGCGCCAGTGAAAAAACGCGATGTTCAACGAAATTTTGAAGATAGAAGTAGCGACGATGATGATCACAATTCATCAAATAGTGAGGATAACGAGAAGGAATCATTGGAAGAACAAGTAAGAAATTTAAGTCAAATAAATCAATATAAAACGTCATTGGTTAACCTTATTTTTGAGCACGCGGTCGTAGATTTAATTTTGTTTTAAATAATTCTTTATAATAATTGATATTTATTGAGAGTAAAATATAATAATTAAATACCTTGTACAAAATTTAAAATTTAAAATTTTTTTTGCAAAAAACACTTACGTATTTAATTTGATTGATTATAATCAATGAGCTTGTCATTCCATGAAGATATTGTTAAATATTACAGTGTTGTGATAGAAACATCTGTGCTAAAAATTGTTGTTTAAAACTTAACATAAATAAATTTAAAAAATGTAAAAAGAATGGATTATTTATTTTTGTGTTTCATTCAAGTTAAATAAATTTAATATTTAATATTTTAATATTTTACAAATAACTGATTATGATAAAAATGTGATTATGATAAAATATGATATTAATAAAATATAAAATCAATCTTAAAATATAAAATTCTTTTAATTAGGGAATGGAAATTCAAGTAGATTTTGAAGGAAGAAATCCATTGGATCCAGATTATCATGGCATTAAGACCTTATTACAACAACTTTTTTTAAAAGCTCATATTGATTTAGGAGGTCTCACAGATTTAATTATTTCTCAAAATTATGTAGGTTCAGTTGTTAAACAATCGGAAGATTTAAATGAGTCAGATGATGAAGACAATGATATCAATGATGTCTTTGGTATTACTACAGTAATTAATTTATCTAGTGGACAAGTAAGTATATTACATATAATATAATGTTATTTAGTTAATATGAAAATTATTTATTAATAACCTAATTTATTTTAGAATTATCCTTGTATACAACAACTTAGGGATTTACTGAGACAATTGGCAAATGAACATGCAACTGATGCAGCAAATACTATGATAAAAGATGTTCTTGAAAATGATTCAGAAGCATTAGGTTTATTAATTAATGAAAGATTTGTCAATATTCCAGCACAAATATCTGTGCCACTTTTAGAAAATTTAATCTCCGAGATAAAAAGAGCAAATAATAAGAAAATGCCATTTAATTTTTCATATTACATATTGATATGCAAACTCTACAAGACAGAAGACAAAAAGTTAGAAAAAAAATTGAAACATAAAAAGAAAGATAATACCGAAGAACCAGCTATTCTATGGAGCAATCCAGAAGAAGAAATTTTTGCAGAAGAAGCAACAATAAGTTTTGAATTTTCTGTTGAAAAAGAGTCAGATAGTGGTTTGTCTGGAACATGGACTGAAACTGATGATGAAATGATACCTTATAGAAAAGTTCTTCTGTTTGAAGCTACCAAATTGCAACCAATTATTGACAAAATAAAAAATCATATTTCTTAATCAATCTAAAAGACTAACATTAATTCATATTCCTAAAAAAATCCTTCCTTTGATGTATTAAAGGAAGGTATACGCTTTTCAAAGATAATTTCTTTGACGATCTATTGTATAATGAACTATTGTATCATACAGTATATGTAATCAGCTTTTTATATATAATACACCTTTTCATACTGCTTACTGCAATCTGTTTCCCATCACTTATCCGTTAACCTCGGAAAATATCTTGAAAATATTTGAATTTTTAGGAATCAATTACGAATTCACATATCAATTTTATTCAATCGTAAAAAATTTATTGTCTTACTAAATAAATAATATAAACAGTAGAATCATAAAACAAATTATTGTTTAAAAAAAATATGTATCGCGATTAATATCTTAACAATAACATGTAACTTGTGCCTGAGAGTTACAAACAAATATTTTGCGCATTACTAACAACATCTACTTTTATGTCGGTGAATCTTTCAATAATTGTTTTATTGGCTTAGCTCTTCGTCTCATGGTGCCCAAAATATTTAACATTTCTGAAACTGCTGGTGGCGCGCTTTCCGCTTCTTGTCGTCTTCTTCTTTCCTCTTCTCTTTGCTTCTGCAATAAATCATTTCATTTGAGACAAAATGTAATTTATGAATACAAAAATATTTCCAGAAATATAAAGAACTTACGTCTGTTTGCTTCAGTGTGAATCGTCCACCTTTTATTTGATTAATAATATCATCGATAGCTGAAATGAATAAAAATTTTGAATTATACGTTAAATGCATTTAAGCACGCGATTGAGCAAATTAAAATTAAAAATATAATTACCAGGTTGTTGCGCAACTGTTGGTGTTTTTTTCGTAATTCCAAGCATATTTTCCATGTCGGTCACCGCGTTTCGTTCCGAATTCATTTTTTCTTCGTCAGCAACTTAATCGACGATTGTCCACTGTTATTGAACATTGGCGGTGGTGGAGGTGGAGGCAAGGGGGGTGGTGGTGGCCTAGAAAGTTTCTCTTCCAGTTCACTGATTTTTGCCTTCAAAGTTTGAACCACTCCTTCCAGAGTTTCCACTGACTTCTCTGCCCTTTCTGCCCTTTGCGTTACAACTTCCAGTTCCGATTCTGCCAGCTTTAACTTTTCCTCTACTATTTCGAATTCGACATTAGATTCTTTCTCCTCCAACTTCTCTTCTAACATTTGTATTTGAGAGGCATGATTCTGTTGCTCCTCCTCCAATAATCTCTTCAAAGATTCTACTTCTTGAAGGACAGTTAATAATCTTCCATTAGGATCGTCGCCAACTTCCGCCATCAGAAGTGCGCTCTGATGAGCCAGAACATTTCTTCTTTTTGCACCTGTATCGAAAGCGCAATATTTTGTAATAATTAATCATTTAAATTCAACTATGTCTCAAAAAATGTCTACTTAAGCATCGTTCTTACCCTTTCTGCCTCTATCTTCATAATCTTCGCATTCTCCCTCTCACGATCGCATTGCGCCTTCAATGCTTGTACTTCCTCCGCAACCATCTTTGTTACCCTTTCCATGTTGTCCTTTTGAACTTTCATCTCGTTTACTTTCTCTTCACCTGGAATTGAAAAATTCCATTGTTAAATGAACATGTTCGTAGATATTTTTTAATAATTATATGTATAAGTATTTTTTTCACATTTTTGCCTAAGAGTTCTTTCCTCGTCCAACTGAGTGGTCAAATGAGTAACCTGTTCTTGAGCTTCGAATTCTTGAAGACGAGCGGAATGCAATTCTGTTTGAAGCCTTGCTATCTCTTTGCTTAATTCTGCAAATTATCCACTCTTATAAATACATTGCATAATTAACAGTGAAATTGTAAGCTGTTATGATATGTCTCCATACATACCTTTCACCGTTTCTCTCAACTGATCGAGATCTTCGAAATTCGAGTCAACTTCATCCGATAACTCAAGATCTAACGAATCTTCCGGATTTGTTTGCAAGAATTTTTGTGTTATAATCTGTGATCTTCTTTTCAGTTCGCGATTTTGCCTATACCACTGAAATTCGATTTTAATTCAATGAGTTATACGCATATAGTCGTATTACATTAATTTCTAGAAATTGTGATTTGAAAAATATTAAATAATATATTAAATAAGAAATACGTATATAATCGAATAAAGTAATAATGATACAGAATAAGAATTTTATTAAAAAATATCTTTTCACTTTGACTCGAATTAGCTAGCTCTTTAACGATGTTCTTTCTCACAATTCTTCAATCCTTGAACGATTGTCTTCATTCTCAGTCACGTTATACAAAAAAATATCATACGAACATATTTGTCGCGCGTGTATCTTAAATCTACATCTTCTCAGTGATATCTCAACCGAGTATGAATTCTCAATTACTAATTACTCTCTTGAATTTTATCATTCATATAATTATAAAAAAGAAATGCGAAAGGTTACCTGTGACGCTTGTTGCATAGCTTTATGCATAGCACCAGTTTCAACGTCATATTGATGCTTTAATTGCTCGTACTCTTTGCACACTGCTTCAGACACTGAAAAAAAATTTATAAATTCGTTTTTAAGTAAATTTTAAAAATTTCCACATTTATGGAAATTATATGTATATATATATGTAATTACAACTACCTGTTCGTAATTTCTGAAGTTTCTGTTCTTTTTCCTGAACTTGCGACTGCAAAGTACCATTTTGTCTCTGCAATTGTTGATATTTTTTCTCCAGGTCCGCATATTCCTTACTTGCTGCGACGAGAAAAGTATTATTTTCAATAGGAAGTTCATATATTGTGAATGCACTCACGAATATAAACGTCACGGGACCCTGACTATAAATTTATTTTATTTCGATTAATTTATAATTCTACCGCGTATGACCAGTGAATAAGAAAACGTCACAGAATTCGTTTTGCATGCAAGAGTGAATCACAACCGAATAATAATTAAGTTGCATTACAGATGATTGGCCGTGAACTACAATCACGCGTTAACCACTTCCCTCTCGCTATATATATATAATTGTTCTTATTTTGCGTGATCCATTACACCTTGATCTCTCTTGGAATAAATAAATAAATCAAAATCAATTTCGTAGAAACGAAGTTTCTGTACAATCGTGAATAAAAAAGGAAAACGCCATGATATTTTTAATTTAAAGAAGAAAAAAAAAGAAGAAGAAGGAGGAAGAAATAAAACTTGGTAAAAGATGCATTGAAAGAAAGTTGTTGATAATACGGTTAGTTCTATATTTACCAATCTCTCTCCTATCCCAGTTGTTTTAATCAAATTAATGCTCGAAAGCGGAGGGAAGAAGCCGTATTTCGTCACTTCGTTAATGATGACTAATGGAATCATAATAAAGTTCCCTAACGACTTTAGGCGGCCCATACAAACACTCATTACGCCACGAAACTTATTACTAATTATTAATTACCGGCCTCGCTCTTCTGCAGCAACAATTTCCTCCTCTTCTCCGACTCCTCGTATTTGTTCTTCCACTTGCTCTCCAGGCTATTGCTCCTGTTCAATTTCACGGCGCCGACCGGCTCATTCGTCTTGCTGTTAACACCAGCCTGGGAGGAGAGTTTCTCAGTCGAGTTTCGCATCTCGATACTCGAGCTCGACAAATTATTGTTCCTCCACCGTTGCTGCTGAACGGAAGCGTCGAGCTTCTCGAACGACGCCCTTTGAGCGGCAACCGACACTCCTCTGGACAGCTTTTCGAAGGACCCTCTACGGGACGGAGGACACCTTTCTTGAGCTTTAATTGCGTTCGATATCCTCGGCACCGGAATGTGTGAGTGAATTACGCTCGAGGATGTCCTCGCCGGCTCAGCGCTTAAGACGATGTTCAGTTCCGTTTTATTCATGTCGTATATATATATTCTGCGAACAAGGGATATATTCGTGAGACTCTCGTCTCTCGTCTTTTCGACGATCGGCCAATTTGCAGAATGGATAGACACGTAATAACTGTTAATTCGAGCCAATAATATTACAATAAGCAATTAGTAATTAGCGAAAGACGAAGAGAGATTGTGAGTATCTAAATAAATTTATGACTGTGTCAGTGTGATATCACTCTTTTCGCTAAATTCAAGTGGAATTCTTCTAGTGGTGGTGGGGAAAGAGGATATATCCACGAGGAATGGACGAGCGATATACAAAGAATAAATGCATCAGAAGAAAATGCTTTATATATATATACATAAGCATAAAATCTATGGGCACGAGAAACGATATTTCTATATTGAAGTGTCTACTTCAAACAGTAGAGGGTTAATAACATCGTTTTCTAAAAATACACGTATTGGTCCCACCCCCTGTAGCCACAAGCCGCGTTAGAAATAGCCGCTCTGTCAAAATGTATTCGTGACTAATCTCGATTCCACGAATCGCGAAGTAGCCGGTATGGGAAGATAAGGTGCTTTCCGAACCGCCACGCGAACTTACCGGGAAATGATAAATGTCTACGTCCGGCGAATCCTGAATCGAGTTACCGGTAATTGTAAAGTCAGTCAGCTTTGCCGAGTCTTACGTTCTCCAGTGAATTCTCGATAATAAACAGGGAGGGAGAGAGAAAGAGATGGGGAGGGGAGGGGGGAATATGAATAGGAATATACCGGCTTAAGGCAGTTTCGTAGCGCGTGTGGTTCGATCGATGCACAGATCAGTGTAAATCGATGAAATGCAATATGCAATATGTCAATTCCAATCAGACGAATTGGTATTAACACGATGCCACTCCTCGAATTTTAAATGTTATTCCCGTACGCCTTACGTCATTGTCCAATTGTTCCCCATCATTGCTGCTGATGTTGCTAATCTCGATCGAATTTCCAATGATATTACTTTGTTTGCACCAATTTAATAATCATGTATGAAGAAGAAAAAGAGGGACGAAGAAACGTATTCAAACTTATAACTCTGTGAAGAATACGAAGACACGTGTCGTTGATCTTCGTGGGAGGCAGCCAGATCTCCCGCAAATATTTCGAAGTTAATTCGTTGGAATGCGTCGCAATTACTCGAGAAACGAACACGTAAATGCCACGACATGGACGACATGGTTATTCGAAAAATTTTTCCATCTAATCTATTGACAAATGGTTTAGATAATGCCTCTAGTTAACGACTCGTCCGATTAGGTTAGAAAATTTTCCCACAGAGACAACTTTATCGTCCACGATAAG